GATTGAGGCAAAGAATAGACAAGCAAAGACATCTCGGACGGGTTCAGTAAGGATGGAGATTTCTTCCGCCACAGTGCCATGTGAGTGGGAACTAATGATAACACCAGATAGGAAACAACCTAATTCCATGGATATACCAAGCAAATCAGTCACCTATGAAATGAGAAAACATATAAACAGACATATAAAAAGCTAAAGTTCAGTGGCACATTCGTAAAACTGAGAAACATTATAATCATTACATTTTTGAAAAAACTATGCAGGTATATATTTTGTGAAGGTTACACTTTGGAAGATTTAAAGTGAGGCTTACCATTAGCATGATGAATGCTAAACTCATGGATCCGAGTACCAGCATTTCACGACAGCCATGCTGTCTCAGTTTATGAAAAAACGGCGGCACCACGTATTTACTCGTTGCAACACTCAACGCCAAAACAAATGCCATAGCTGGAATATAATGCAGAGAATGTTAATCATTCAATATTATTTACATTTGCCATCGTGTTTTAATTATGCAGCATCATACTTTCATATTATGGAATTATGTGCTTGGACACACACCCTATAAACACCTGTGGTCAATCTACTGAAAGTTGCATTGATATACTTTATTCACAAAACAACCAATCATGAAAACAAACATGTATTCTTGAACGAGAATATCAAAAGGTGCACAATCAGACAGTAGTCCAGTCAATTTAGCAAATCAAATCATGCCAAACCTGTCATCTGAAAATGGTCACAACATGTAAAAAGTCTGGCAAAATCTAAGTTGTTTGCTCTAAAGCCGAGGACTTTTCTGGTCTATGGTTATGTAATTGCCATTTAACTTCTCCACTTATGAATGAAAGTACTTATAATATTGATTTAATCATTGAGAGAAAGTTTACTATGGCAGCTTTCTTAAGTCATGCTCGTTTGGAGCAGATTTTTCAGCTTTTTAATGTTACTTTTATCTGTACTTCAAACCAATGTTCAGAATAATAGTACTGGGTATAACAAGTTTGTTTGGAAAATAAGTTGGTTCAAAGTCAGCTCTTTGAATTTTTGTCGATAAAAAAAAACACCAATTATGTAGTGAATATTGAATTTGATGATTTAGTGCAATTTTCTAATCACATCAAAAATCAGAGAACTGGGTTTGATGTTTGTCTGAAAGAGCACATTTTGGTTAAAAGCAGTAGAACAGAAACAAAACTTTCAATCATTTTTGGGTTCCAAGAAATTTAGTTTTTTCTCTTAAACCTATGAAAGGCCTACTGAATTTTTTGATGCAATATTTTGTTACATTTTTATGTATTTTTATATAATTTTTTTGTTAATTTTGAACCAAATGAACAGAATTTCCAATTGGCTATATATAAGGTTTGTTCAACATTAAAAAAAATAAATATGGAAAACGACATGGCAGTTTATTTTTGAAAGATGACAAAAATTGTGTATTCAAAGTGGTAATTAATATAAACCAATACAGATTATTTATAAAATGAGTTTATTCATCGATACTCACCAGTGACAAGCTTTATAAGAAGCCATAACGTCCTCAGTATATCCATAATATTCATCCCTTGATGTGGTAACATTGTAGGTATCGGCGACCCAGCCATGGCAGGCAGAATGGCAATTAAGAGTCCCAGCTGAACATCTTGTACCACCAAAATACCTAACAGTGTAGAACTATACTCGCTGTCCCCCTGACCTGGTAATTTACATAGTGTAAAACACAGTATTAGTATTTGATTGGTCAGTGATGGCACAATGCTGCAGAGAGCAGCTTTTTGATTGGCTGTCGATTTGGGAAATACATGTAAAAGTTTTAATCTATCAATTAAGTAAAAAAAAAAAATAATAGTAAACTCCAACTTTTGTGTTGCATGCTTTAAACGTGCAAATGCATGCATTTATCATGCGTGCAAACGCATGCATATTTAAGGGGATAATGCATTAACCTTTTCACCACCAGTTCCCTCTCTTCATCACAAATTCACAATATAGTCTCATTTATAGTCTGCACTTTCCTTCAGAAAATTAGGACAATCACTTTTTGAGTAAAAACTGAAAATTTAATAAAATTTTTTCTGCTGACTCCAAAATCAGGGTTCATTTCCAGAAATATTGAAGAATATATGAAAAAAGTGATGACAAATTTGGGAAAGAAAATCTGGTGGTGAAAAGTTAAACAAATCGTCTGCTGATGCCATTTTATCTCTCCATGCAGGCTTTCAGCAGGAAACGTGTTATTGATTTAATAGTTTTGAAATCTGAATCGGTATCCATTCTCATAACAGTTACAGCAATTCCAGGCACTGATTTGGCGCTGAAGTAGTGCTAGATGTTGATAACTTACTACAATAGGTTACACACGTAGTTGTTACATTTACAGAAGTTGTTACAAAAAATGCAATTTGAAGCGCACCGGAAGAAAACTCCACCCATAAAAGTGGTGGTACATTAATTTTGAATTTATCCTCCAATAAACGATCGAGGCTCTCAACTTAGTTTCATATTTTAATTTGCGTCACATGTTATTTCAGTAAGAGGGGCACATAAAGTGGTGGCACTGTAAAAAACGTTAGTTACCCATAGTTATTTTACAGAACCAGCTGACCGACTGATCATGACTGAATTGTTGATCAAAGTGCATTATTCCTACTATGGAAATATCTGTATCACACCGATGTATATAACTGTAAGCTGCCTGCAACAACTGTCCTATGAAGACTTCATCCAGTATATCAATAATAAAATTGAATAGAATGGGTGTTATTCGATTATTAGTTCTCAATGATGAGAACCAAAAGGTTGATGTGCTTTAAAAAGCTTATCACTGGCAACACACAATCACACGTTCGGGAAGGTTTGCCGCCGTACAGACTCAAGTAGTTTTTGTCGAATTTCCCGTCCGTAAATACGCGATCGCAATGTTTTATAATATTCGACATAGTCTATAACGTTGTCAGTTAGTTTTTTAGTCGCGGATTGGTCGCTCTTACGCTTTCCTGGCAGGATACTCTCGGTGGTAACAAACCGTTTGACTGTCTGCTTTGAAACACCATTTAGATCTCCAATCTCGGCAAATGACAGTCCAAGAAAATACAAATCGACAACTCTTGTTCTCACTTCAACTGGTTTTTTGACTCATAGCTTCTCCATCGTGGTGTTTACACAACTTGGACAAATGCCGATTTGTAGACAAGCAATCAATACGATGACTGACCAAAAGTTACTGAGGACAGACACGCCACAAAGTCTGGGGCATCGGACTTTGTAGCAAAAATAGAAAACACTGTGGGCAATATCTGTCAATCAGTCCTCTGATTTGCAGCCGATGTTTATATTTCTAGTAACAACTTATGTATATTTGAAAACAAAGTGTGTAACCTATTGTAGTAAGTTATCAACATCTAGCACTACTTCAGCATCAAATCAGTGCCTGGAATTGCTGTAAAACAAATGACAGGACGGATATACTTAACAATGTATATAGCAACAAACAACAAGAGTTTATTATTTTCTAAGAATACAAGTAGGTATCTTTATTGTACATTGACAGGCACAAAGCTGGGACTTTGAGTATAAATGTCTTTATAATCATTTGAATATGGTGAGCTTCAGCGTTCAACTCCAAATATTTAATAGTGATTGGCAGATGGGCTAAACATTGTCTACACTTATAATGCATGTACATGACATATCAACTTAGACTGCCCATATATTCAAAATAAGTGCTCGCTGATTGAAAAATGTTGAACTATCTCAAGTCATTAATATTAATTAGAACTAACGATGATGTTAAGATACAATTTCTGGATTAGTTCATTTGAATACATACATGTAATTAAAAAAATAGCGACCACAGCTTTATACCTGTCACTGCGAAGTGTTAGAGAATAAAAATTAAGGAAATTGGATGAAGATTTTATATAAACATGCCCCTTACACTGGCTCCCACAGCATAACACCTAACATGCAGCTGATAGTAAGCCAATCAGAAATAAGGTTACAAACTGGTACATGCAGCTGGTAGTCAGTCAATCAGAAATAAGGTTATATACCACTAACACAAATAAAGTACTTGTAATGCTTCAATGCTTTAAGCATGCTTTAATTGAAAAGTTAGCAGTTCACTAAGAGTCCACAATCATGGTCAATGCTAAACGATATTATTATTAGTATTATTATGAAGATACTGAGGATACAGGACATATGTACATTCAAAGTGAGAGCTTTGTTTGAATGTGGTGACATAAATTATTATTATTATTATTGGATGTAATTGTCAGTGTAGAATGAAATGATGTCTGCTTGGCACGGTTCCATTGTGGTGGATGCACATAGATCAGATCAGATTAGATTAGATTAGATAGACTGATTTGCTTAACAACATTTAAATAGCTAACTGTATAGCACAGACTTTGACTTAATTACTGACTGCATCCGAATGTTGGAGCAAAAAACATATATTGCATTCATAAAAGTCATATGGGACTAACACATGAACATGACAGGGGGAGAAGAAGGTGGCCTTTTAAATGAATAGAGAAGCCTAGAGTTACACATTTATTATTAGCACATGCCTAAAAAGTGTAGACTGAAAAAAACAAAATTGACACCTAATGATAAATTGCAATCGATGCGCACCACTTATTTATTGGAAATATTTTGGTTTGAATGACACCAGACTAAGGGTAAACAATGGAGCCATACCTTACAGATGTGCATGATTAGTGTCTTTGCCTTATACATAATTCTGACTGATTTGGATAAAGAATTCTGATATAGCATTTTGACTGATTTGGATATGGATTTTTGATACAGAATTCTGATTGATTTGGATAAAGAATTCTGATATAGCATTTTGACTGATTTGGATATGGATTTATGATACAGAATTCTGACTGATTTGGATATAGATTTCTGATACAGAGTTCTGATTGATTTAGATATAGATTTCTGATACAGAATTCTGATTGATTTGGATATAGATTTCTGATACAGAATTTTGACTGATTTGGATATGGATTTCTGATACAGAATTCTGATTGATTTGCATATACATGTAGATTTTTGATACATAATTCTAAATGATTTGAATATAGATTTCTGATACAGAATTTTGATTGATTTGGATATAGATTTTTGATACAGAATTCTGATTGATTTGGATATAGATTTCTGATACAGAATTCTGATTGATTTGGATATAGATTTCTGATACACAATTCTAAATAATTTGAATATAGATTTCTGATACAGACTTCTAATTGATTTGGATATAGATTTCTGATACATAATTCTAAATAATTTGAATATAGATTTCTGATACATAATTCTGATTGATTTGGATATAGATTTCTGATACAGAATTTTGATTGATTTGGATATAGATTTATGATACATAATTCTAAATAATTTGAATATAGATTTCTGATACAGAAGTCTGATTGATTTGGATATAGATTTCTGATACAGAATTCTGATTGATTTGGATATAGATTTCTGATACAGAATTCTGGTTGATTTGGATATAGATTTCTGATACAGAATTCTGATTGATTTAGATATAGATTTCTGATACAAAATTTTGAC